TGTGTGTGTGTACCTGCAGAGTGTGTGTACCTGCAGTGTGTGTGTGTGTACCTGCAGAGTGTGTGTGTGTACCTGCAGTGTGTGTGTGTGTGTGTACCTGCAGTGTGTGTGCTCTCAGTCAGACAGCGGTGAACACTCTGAGCGTCCTCTCTGATCTTCTCCAGATCTTCAGTCACTGAACTGAAGATCTCCAACAGATCGGCCTCCTCCTGACAATCATCATCAAACTGTTGATCACTGATACTCGTCATCACTGATCACTGACGATCACCAGTAGTGAGACACACAGGTGCTATTGATCACCTTGTGGTTGGTGCTGACAGTTGACAGGTCGACCGTCTTACTGACGAGGTTCTTTAGGATCTCCATTCTTTTATCAGCTCGCTCCTCGAGGATCTCCTTCTCCTTCTCCAGACGCTCACTGACACACACACATTAAAACACGATGTCACATGTGTGTCACATTACAGTCATGTGACACACTGTAGTTCAGTCACATGATCACGTTACCTGTAGTCTTTCTCCATCTTGTTGTAGAGCTCCATGAACTCAGCGCAGACTTCCTCTCTGATCTGAGCCTCCAGCACCAAACGCAGCGCAGCCTCTCTGTCTGACGTCTGACACACACACACACACACACACACACACACACACACACACACACACACACATAACATTTTTTCAGTGTTCAAGGATTTTAAGAGAATACAACTTCTCCAGAAAACAGAAATAACTTAAGTTAGATCATTACCTTCTCTTCTCCCTCCATGGTCCTGTCACCTTCCTCCTCCTCGTCTTCCTCACCGCCTGCCTCCAGCACTGTTCCTTCTATCGCACTCTCCTCCTCCTCCTCCCCCCCCCACTCTTCATCGTCCTCATCCTCCAGCACATCCTCCAGAGTCTTCTCCCAGGCGACCAGCGAGCTCTTCCTGCCCCGCCCCGACACGTTTCTGCGGCGGTCGGCGTCCTCGATGATTAGCGACAGCTCCATGGCCGAATTGTGGGGGACGTCGTCTGGGACCATCGGCCTCGAGTTCAAGACCACCACCTGGACCAGAGAGAGAGTCACGGTGCTGCATTCAGAACCTCAGTGTAGAAATACTGAATCAAAGCCACAGTACTGACCTTCTGGGCGAGGGCGGAGAACTTGAGGACGTTGAGAGTCTCGTCGAAGCAGGACGAGTTCCTGTTGATGTTGACCACCATGGAGACGCGGCCGCCACCACAGAAGAAGAACTGCAGGAAGTGGGTGAGCTTGGACTCCCTGAAGGGGACGTGGTGCGGGACCCTGCAGAGAGAGAGAAACAACCCATCAGACCCGGTCACCCTGCGAGTCCTGATGGTTCTGGTTCAAGCGGTCCCAGACTCTGAGGTCCTACTTGGTGTGCTGGTTCAGCTTCATGGAGTTGATGCACTTCCCGAGCGTCAGCAGAGAGCTGTTGATGTTTCCCGCCTCCTTCAGTCGCTCCCCGGTGTTGTGAGTCCGAGAGCAGCGCTCGGATCCGGCCAGGTCACACAGAGACAACCTCACAGAGACACATTATTATGCTTATTATTTACATCCTCTACACCAGTGGTTCTCAGCTGGTCTGGCTGTGGGACTTTTTTTGTTTTTTGCCAGGCAATGTTCCCGCGACCCACTTTTGGGTCGCGACCCACCAGTTGAGAATCACTGCTTTACACACTGATGACCTCGTCCCTCCAAGCTTAACAGTCTTACTCGCTGATGCCGAGGACTCTGGGAACGCCGACGTCGTCCACTCGGAGGATCCTGATGGAGAAGATGCTGTGGCTGCAGAGACACACAGAGGGAAACAATCACAAAAACAACACCGCTTATCAGCCAGAAGCTGTGAAAAAATGTCAGATTTTCATCTTTCAGACGGTCCTTGAACACATCATGTGAGACGACCGCTTCCATCAGAAGAAGAAACTAAAACTAATCTTAAAATTGTGATATTTCATCATCATGTCTCATTTAAAATCCCTCCACAAATAAACCGTCATGATGGTTCTGTTTCCATAGAGGAGCAGGACTTTTATTTTGAAAATCAAGACCACAGAGAGAAAAATGTGACCGGAACAGAAACCTTAAACTCCATGAGGGTTCAGAGGGTTATAGTTTATAGTCACAAGCAGAAACTGTAGTCAAGTAAAGAGAGTAAAAGAGCTGACCTCCTGCTGGACAGATGGTTCAGTCTGGTGGAGGAGAAGCTCTGGTTCTTCTTCCCAATCTTCAGCACTCTGTAGGCCTCTTCAGACCCGTTCACCTGGACCCACCTCAGGTCTGAGACATGGAGCAACACAAAGACACACACACACACACACACACACACACACACACACACACACACACACACACACACACACACACAGTAAAATCTCTGCAGGTTGTGTTGAGGGTTCCAAACACTGTAAAAGTATCTGCTGCCATCTTGTGGTACGAGGAAGTTACTACACAACACAGCTGGGCCGAGACAGTAAAGCTCAGCTTATATTCAATCATGTGACCGTCACAAATATTCACTGATAATAAACATTGTTTACATTTCTGAGGGTTTTATAAAGAAGGTTAATTCGTTTTTAGACGTTTTAGAAACAGGAAGTGTTAAAAATCTATTTGAGTAAATATTTAGCAGTTAAATCAAATCGTTTACAGGATCTTTAACCTTCATTCAGTGAGTAGAAACAAAGATTTACACACAGGAACATGAAACATACACAACAATAAAGTAAAGAAATGTGATTCTAATCAAATTAAAATAGACGTTACCTTTGATGAACGATTTTCCTTTGACGTCCTGAGACAGACGCAGAACCGTCCTCTTGTGGTGTCCACTGGGAACCTGATCGATGACAGATCAATGACAGATCAACCACATACACCCACATACACCCACACACCCACCCACACACACACACACACACACACACTTACCTGCTCCAGCAGGTCGTGGATGTTGTCGTTGTAAATCTCACAGAATGAAACCCAAACAGAGAAACGGACGTTTGAGTCGACATCAAGACAAAAACTGTCCTCCTCAGAGACGCCAGTCCCTGTGCTGTCAGACGAGCCTGAAAACACACACACACACACACCTCCTTGTTTTTAGCAGTTGTGGGCTCCACAAGATTTTTGTGTGAGGACCACTTTTCATTTACATGGTCAGACAAATAACAAACTTCTGACTTCACAGTAATTAAATCACTGACCGTCAAGAAAAGTTGATCTGCCAGACGTCTGACTTTTGTCGCTCTGCAGAGACAATGAGACACAATGAGACACACTGGTACACACACACACAGTAGTACACAGATGTATTTGTATGTTGTCACCTCTTTAAAGAGCCTCAGCAGGTTCCTCTTGCTGCTGGACTCTGCTGCCTGCTGGTCTGGAGTCAGTCTGCTGAAGTCTCTGCAGCGCTGTGGCTTCAGGTCGGACCGACCGTACAGACGACCGTCGATGCTGTTAAAGATCACAGACAGAGACCTGGGCAACAGACCGGAGTCATGGTCCGGACCTGAGACACAGACAGGCAGACAGACAGACGGACGGACGGACAGACGGACAGACATTTAAAAATAAATCAAAACCACTCTGCAGGTGAATCGACAGTAAATCGTACAGAAACGTTTAGATTCAGAGAGAAAATGTGATGAATTTTGTGAAGCTTCAACTGTGTGTCCAGATGTGAATGTGCTGGATTTGACACAGAAGACAACAGGTGTGTGTGTGTGTGTGTGTGTGTGTGTGGACACGTTTCACACGTACATGAACTTGATGTGACTCAGAGGAACCAGGTGACTCCGGTAATCAGAGAAGCCGTTTACACAGCGCAACCTGGTTCCACTGGATCTGGTTCCACAGGACAGGGATCAGGTTTCTCCTCTACAGACACTGATGCTAAAAGGGTCCCAGTCCTATTTTAAACTGTGGGGCAGTCAGAGGACAGACAGACAGACAGGTTGTGTTTCTGACCCAGGAATGTGAAGGTTTTTCCAGCGTTGGTGACTCCGTACGTGAACACCAGACAGTTTCCTCCAGTGAGAACGTCACGGACCAAACCACGAACTGAACCCTCAAAGACCTTCTTCTGGCTGGCATCCGGATCAAAGACCTGTACAATACATCAACCAGTTAACTACTGTAGTAAACACACCAACCAGTTAACGAGTAAAAACACCAACCAGTTAACTACTGTAGTAAACACATCAACCAGTTAACGAGTAAACACGTCAACCAGTTAACTACTGTAGTAAACACGCCAACCAGTTAACGAGTAAACACGTCAACCAGTTAACTATTGTAGTAAACACGTCAACCAGTTAACTATTGTAGTAAACACGTCAACCAGTTAACTATTGTAGTAAACACGTCAACCAGTTAACGAGTAAACACGTCAACCAGTTAACTACTGTAGTAAACACGCCAACCAGTTAACGAGTAAACACGTCAACCAGTTAACTACTGTAGTAAACACGCCAACCAGTTAACGAGTAAACACGTCAACCAGTTAACTACTGTAGTAAACACGTCAACCAGTTAACGAGTAAACACATCAACCAGTTAACGAGTAAACACGTCAACCAGTTAACGAGTAAACACATCAACCACTTTAACGAGTAAACACGTCAACGAGTAAAGACGTCAACCAGTTAACGAGTAAA